CTTCAATTCATTTTTTCTTTCAAATTTATAATTCTAAAGTATTTCTATTGATTATACATATTAAAGAGATTTTTATTTAAAGATAGTTAAAATTAAAAGGATATTTTAAATAATTCAACTCATATTTATTGTAAATAATTAATTTTAACAATTTTTTTAAATTTATTTACCTTGATTGAATAATATTTATATTAAAGATTAGAGGGAGTCCAAATCCTGCCGAGAGGGGTCAACTATGCACTCATAGTCACAGCACTATGCGCCAGCTTGGTGCATTATTATTGTTATTATTTGGTATTATGGAGTATTTATTTATCCTTCTGAGGGAGCTAGGGAGACTGAGGAGGTGTTTAGGAACATATAAAAGTGTTTTTAAAAAACAATTTTTTACTAAACAAGATAAATTTCTTTATATATTTATTGCATATATTGTAAAAATATTTTTAAAACCGTGATTTAGTTTTTATCCAAATATCTCTTTAATTGAGAGGAACACATTATATAATTGGTCTCATAGAAATCATTCCGCACAAATTACAATTTCAAACAATATTATTACACATAAAACGCATAAAAAGTTTGAGTGAGAATCTAATGGGCAGCAATATCTTATATCAAATGACAAAAATACCCCCAGCGGGTGTTGGGAAGATGTTACTCAACTCTTCTCAAATTCACCTATCATGCGCGCTTGCTTGATTTGCCGACGTAGCGTAGCGACCCTCTATATGGCAAGGCATGCCCACTGTTGTTTGCGTTGCGTGACGTATGCACCTTAATACAATTTTGCCGATTAATTTAATCATAAAATTACTTATTGTTTTTTTTAATAATGCTTCCTGGCCTGAACCAGGAAAGTAGCATGACATGAGCTGTATTCAACTTTTCCCACCTTAGAACCTTTAAAAGTCTTTCTAAAATTGAAATTATAAAATAAATAACGAATGTGTGCGATGTCTACTAAGGGAAAATGATATTTTAAAAAAAAGTTAAAAATTGTAATATTCTAATCTCGCACCTAAGACTTCAAAGTTCTAAGAAGAGAAAGTGATGATATGATATTTTATAAATATAGTTAAATAACAAAAATGTCCTTATATCAAAAAATTTATTAACAAATTATGAACTAATAATGACAAGTGCTGAATAGTAAATGATGACAAATATACTGATAATAACAAGTTACTCCTCCAATATTTAATATAAGACCTATTTAACTAATTTGATTAGATTAAGGAAATTAGGTAAATTAGTTAATTATAAGAAATATGAAATGTTTTTCCTATAACACCATAATCACCTTCCTTAATATCTTTTGTTCCTCTTCTACTTGATTATGGTTGAGGAAGTATCCATAAGAGTAATTTAGAAAAAAACTGATAAATACTACCTCTCGGTCCTAATTATAAGAGCTAGTTGACTAATTTGAAGAAATTAAGAAAGCAAGTTGAATTAGTTATTTGTCCTAAATAGGTGTTGTTTTTCCTAAGATATCCTTACTAATCAAATGTATTGATTAGAACTATCATTGTTAGAAGGGCTACTTTGAAAAAAAAATGTATAACTATGAGAGACAAAGTGGATTGAGGTCTTATATTTAGGACCAAAATAAAAGTCAAATAGGGTCTTATATTAAGGATCGGAAGTAGTATGAGAAATAAGTGTTATATTTAGGATCAAAATCAACTTAACAATTAGGTCCTATATTAAGGACCGGAAGAGTATTTATTAATAAGTTATAAATTGACAATGACAAGTGTTGAACAACAAATGATAAAAAATGTCTTGACAATGACAAATTTAATAGCTTTTTTTTTTTAAAAAAAATCGATATATGAGCATTTTAGTTGTTTGATTATATTTGCAAAATACCATATTAGATATTATTTTCTTTCTTGAGATTTTGACCTCCCAGGTGCTTAAATTTAAAAATTGTAATTTTCAATTTTTTTATATCATTTTTTCCATCTATTAATTATACTCTTTTTTTCATTTTGTTTATATCTTCTCACCTTCTAAAAACAACAGGAAGTATTGAATGATATTCAATTTTTTAATATAAAACTTCATATGAAAAATCTGTATTAATAACGACGCACTGACTACAAGCCGTGGCCAACACTTTTCTTTTCTTTTTTTGGTTTTTCGTCTTACTTTATTTTTTTAAATAATAGATCATTTTACAGAACCAAATTTATATGAAAGGGAAAAAAATCGCGTGGAAAAATATATAAGAAAAAGAAAAATGTTTGGTGGTTATCGCTTTCTATGCTTGTCTGAATCAGTTGCACATAGTTCAGAGTTACACCACATAAAGATTCCTTTAAATCCACACACACACACACACACAAACACATACCGGTTATTTCTGTGAAGGAGGTTCGCCTTCTAGGATTAAGATATTGTCTTATTTATAATAATAACATTTTATATTATTAAGACCCACAGAGCAACATTATCCTCAACCCCACAACCATTTGTCCCACTCGCATTGAATGATATATGTATAAATAAAATAAATGAAGATTGAATAATTCAATTTCAAATGTAATTCAGTCTAATTTTAAATTAAATTTATCTTTCAATGTCGCTTTTCGTATATATCAAGCCTGACGATGTTCATTTGAATGATTGACCCGCTCGATTCGTCGATCCCTGCGTGGAATTTGCATGTGTGGTTCATATATATCGCACGACACCATATGCATATGCAACTATACGTTACTATTCTCTATATGTGTTAAGTAATTATGAATTAGTCTCGAGTAATTAATATTATCAACAATGATCCACCATCGCAAAAGAAATCTTTTTTTAAAAAAATTGTAAAATCACTATCCCATAATTACTAATTAATCAACAAAGCACCCACATTGAAGCATACCGTCTGGCCATTGCTAATTGGTCTGGAAGCATATCCGGTGACATCACGGCGGCTTCAAAATATTTTGATTTTGGCTAATATTACGTTTTTCAATTAAGTCATTGGACAAAACGTTTTTTTTTTTTTAATTAATGGTTCATCCTAAGATCTATAATTGTTGATAGAATATAATAATGTCATACAATTCATCCATCCGACGCCACTTAGTTAAATAACGTCTATTATCGTTAATGTTAACTAACTACGTTTCAAGGGCACAATAACATATTACTATTCCCCCCTTCTCAATTGCGTGCCAAGATAACGTGGTTGTAGTATCACATTAGAAGACGGGGGAGATATAAAAGTAGGTAAAAAGGACAAAATGACGTACTGTAGCTATGGCTAGAAATCAAAAGATTAGTTTTGGACAAAATAACGTAGTTTTTTTTTTTGGCCAAACAAAATAGCGTAGTTTTGGTTACGTAGTTTTCGACACGCACGCTGAATTATAAGATTATATCGTGCTAGGTTGTGTGGCATGTTGTGGGTTAATTTAGCAAGTGGAGGAAGAATTGTCACAGTCAATTAACATTAAATACGTACATAGTACTATAATATGATTCAGAACTTCAACTAGCTAGGAGGTTGTGATGAAAGTGATAATGGCCTTTCTCACGACTAAACAACGGGGCACTGATATAAAAGTAATTAAAATCTGACCTAACCAAGTCGATGGAAACCGCATCACAAGCAGGAGCACACGAGTGGGCATTTCCCCAAGTGGAGGTGGAGGATTAGAAAGGCACGTGTATTTATAATCTCCAACAAGGGTAGTGGCCAGCTAGCATAACCTATACACGACATAATGATCGATAACATACATACTCCTCCGGTCCTTAATATAGGACCCAATTCTTGAGTTGATTTTGATCCTAAATATAAGACACATTTATTATTTTATTAATTTTTTCTAAACTACCCCTATGGATACTCCCTCAATCATAATCAAGTAGAAGAGGGAGAGGGGGTATTAAGAAAGATGATTATGGTGTTTTAGGAAAAATGTGTCACTTTTCTTATAATCAACTAACTTACTTAACTTCCTTAATTCAGTCAAATTAATTAAATGGGTCTTATATTAAGGACCGGAGGAGTATATTGGAATTTGCATGTTCCTCAGGTTCCCTGAATTTTGGCACATGTGTAAATAATTGTTTAATGTAGCCTTCATTTGCTTTCATTGATCGAAATCAAATTTTCGAGTCTTTCTTTGTATTTTTTGCTAAAGCATAGGTATCCTTCTATTAGAAGTAATCTTATTCGAGATACTGTCGGGTACTAAATGTGTTCACCTTTCCCAGCAGGGATTCGAATCTTAGTTCATCACGTTATGAAGGATTAGTCTCTTCTGCTAGACCCAATCCCTGTTGGTTAATTTTCAAGTCAATTTGAATGTATATAGATTAGTGAATTCTTTCTTGGGCCGAATATTGTTTGGATAAGATTAGCGTCCGGTGGAGAGAAAATTCAAGTGCCAAACATTAATAAAACCCAACGGGCTTCCGACCCAATTAAAGATGCCTTGAAGATCCGCAGCGGATGAAAAGGAGCCCGCTGCTGCACCCTTCATCCTGGAATAATCGCAGTATGCCGAATAATGCCAGCAGACAAGTGTTCTCATCCCTGAACACGATCTACAAGGGAGCGAAAAATAGTGTTGTTTTACCGAAACGAGTTTTATTGCTTATCACAATAACAAATAAGATGATACTTATTATTGTAGTGAAATCTAAACTATTTAAAATCAGCTTTAATGGTCTAAATTTAAAATTTTCAACCAATAAGTTTTAAGTAAAAAATTTCTTTTTAAAAGACATATAGTTAAGAGATTATATTTATTTTGATTACATACCTATTAAAAGAAAAACACTTTTTAAAAAAACAAAAATATTAAATATTAAATATTGGTTGTTTATATTAAATTTAAATGGTTGAGATTTAATAAACATTATGATGCTTATCACTGTGATGAGTACTAAAACTGGTTTTTCTTTTTCTCATAATTAATTAACCGAAACAACATCTGTTTTTACCAGGTGGCTAGGGTTTAGGAAGACCATTATCTACACGTACTCTAAACAAAGTTCTGGGCTTCATAGGTTTGGCCGAACTCCCAGTCCCTGGGACAAACAGAGGAGGAGGTCACGGCCTGGCCATCGCTTGTTTGGACACGGAAGCTCAAGTCGCCTCCGACTAACTTATCATGAAGCACCCATTTCTGACCCCACTCTCTCTTCATCTCTTTCCATTCCGAGTTCCCACTCTTCACCTGCACGCCCACCACATCACCGGCTCCTCCCACATTCCACAGCGACACCGCGTTGTAGTATGGATTCCCTGTTATCTTCAATTTAATCCCTCCCGTCTTCTTGCACGGTACCCTATTCACACACACGCACGCACACCGTCGATCTCATCAGGTGCACAGATTGAAAACTATTAGAGCTATATTATCAACACAGGGCTAATGAACCTGCGGTACTCGACGGGGACTACGCCGGCCTTGAAGTCGGTGGCGATCTTGGTGAAGGAAGATTTGGCTAAATCAAAGTGCTCTTTTGGAGGATTGCACCATCCTCCATCGGAGCCTGGCGGGCAAAGGTTGGTGGCAGTGACCTCAACAACGGGTTGGCCTGGCTTGCACCATTGAGGAGAATCCACACATCGAATTTCGTAACACGCCCCGCATTTCTGTCCCTCGTTGAACATCGCCGAGCTCACCGCTGCTGTATCAACGTACCCTTGTCGTGCGACATCATCGTATCCACATGCTCCCCTGCGCGCACATGTAACTAGATTTAATTAACTAGAAAATATATCTTGACCCAAAAAAAACCTAGAAAAGATATCATATACTCTTCGGGTCCTAAATACATGACCCTTATACACACTGGTATAAGGGTCTTATATTTAGGACTGAAGGAGTATAATGTTAGTTATATAGTAGTATCAATTAGAATTTTGCAATGCTTGTTACACGCACACACCGTATGATGTGGAGCTTCCTTCGTAGAAGGTGGCCTGAGCTTTCTTCCATGGACCTGGGAAAGTTGCGCGCACGCAAGGGAGCGGAACAGCCACGAGAAAGAGGAAGGAGGAGGCGAAAAGGGTGGTAAAAGAAAAGGCCATGGTGACAATTGAGGTTTACCAAATATTATTGTCGTGGGTTTCTGTTTCTGGTGTGTGCATGGGATCTCTTATCGTAGAAATGTTTTGACTAAATATATATGCGGTACAAGAAATTGGCAATATTAAGTATACTTTTCTTGTTTAGGCACAGGGGCGAGATTTTCACTCTGCGCCTCTCTTACCATATGAGGTCGCCAGCCACAGGCTATTGTTGGTCGGATATTTTCGGCATCAGATTGAAAAAAATGGATTATCAAATATCTTGTTGTTTAGGTCTTTTATTACTAAAATATGAAATTTAGAAAATAGAGAATGGGCCCGGGGGGGGGAGCGGGAACCTAAAAACCACAGGGAGACAAATGTACACAAACTTTTCTGTATATATAGTAATGGACTAATGGGACTACCAACGCATTTTCATGCAGAAGCTCAAGCTGCGAAAATCACTTTTCTGAACAAGTGTCCTTACACAGTATGGCCGGCAACGCGAGCCGATGACCAGAGGCTCTAACTGCCCACGACCGGCCTTGAGATCGTGAAAGTACCATCCTCTTGGTCTGGTCGGTTCTCAGCTCGAACTGGATGCTCTGCTGACTTTGGCAAGGTCGCCTGCTCCGCCGCGGACCTTAGGCCCCGATGAAGATAGATGGCCAGATGCCATGGTGCCGGTGGGCCCCAACTCTTCGGTAACCTGGTTTTAGTTGTTGGGCCAGGTGATTAACAAAATCCTAAGAAAACCCGTGTAAGGCTGGGCCTTAGGCTGGGATAAGTACCATCGCGATCTGGCCCCCATGCACAAGCTCGCACCCATAATTGAAAGGGGATTTTAAACTTTGTTAATGTTAAATAAAATAAAACAGTAATTAATGAGCCTTGCGCGCACAGTAGAATAATTTTCTGGAACATTTTATGAGGTGTTTGGATATCACAAGAAATACTTTTTAAAAGCACTTTTTTACAAATCGAGATAAACTCCTTCACATATTTATTTTGTATACTGTAGAATTACTTTTAAAACTATAGTCTGGTTTTGATTCAAACACATTCTTAATATAAAGTGAATGAAGCAATCAGAATTGGTTTATTTAATATCTTTTTTTTTTCAGTGAAATGTTTTATTTAATATCTTCAAAGTTCAAACACAACTTTGAATTCAGCTTTCCCGGCTAATGCTCGTTGATTAATTTTACCCACTCTTTACCTTCTAAGACCCGCAAAAATTATGGAATTAGAATTAATTAATGCAACTAACGCAGTGTAGTCTTCTTTCATGGATTGTGTGGCGGGTTTGGTTTCTTCAGAATAAGTGCTCTTGTAACGAACCGCCGCCATTGGTATTTCATCAGAACGATTGGGTACGCAGAGTAATAAGGGATCTCATTTTTATGAATACGTATGTCGACGGACCATGTTGTTGGCATTGTGTTCTTATTATTAGATCATTTTCAGTCTCCTCTATATTCTCCGTAATGGCTCAACTGGGTAATAAATTAAACTAAAATGCTTAATTTGAAACCAACCGCTGAGTTTAATTATCCTTGCGTGACCGCGACCTGGATGCCCATTATCTTCAACGCTAATAAATACTCTTTTGATTCTTAACGTATGACCTAATTAATTAATCTAAGTAAATTAATTAAGAATATTAGTTATATTAATTAACATGACATTTTTTTAAAAAAATATCCTAAGCATATTTTCTAATTTTGTCATCTCCTTTCTTATTTGATTATTGTTGAAAGAACATTAATATGATCAATTTGGAAAAAAATTGATAAACTTGTAAAATAGATATTTTATGTAGAGTCAATATCGAGTTTTTAATTAAGTCTTACATTAAAAACTGACATAGTAGAATATTGTTCGTAATGAGTAATCTTAATATGTCAGAGACTTGCACATGTTAGCCTTGGATTCAACATTCGAATGAAACGCACGCACGCCTCCCAACCAGCAGCATTCTTCTGGAAACGAGGAAGTTTTATGATGGCATTGTTATTGATATAATTATTAATTAATATCATATATCATAATTAAAAATGGAGCAGCCGAGCAGATGTTATTTGTACATATAAAATTAATTAAAGTAATAAGAGATAATAATGACATTGTTTTTTATATGTTTATAAATAATTTTGTTTATACAACCATGCCCAAGCATTACGCCAAGATCAGTGATGGAAAAATTAAAAGATAAACTCATGGGGGATGAAATTAAAGACGAAGTCAAGTCAGGGGAAGAAAATTGGACCTCAGCGCGCATTGGTTGAGGTATTGGAGTCAAGTCCAAAGTGACGCCAGGTCTGGTTTCTTCGTCAATCCTCAACCACATCAGGTTTCTTCTATGTTGAACAAACAAATGTTGTAGTGGAACAAAGACAAAATATGCCAAGCAAATGTGGATTTTTTTGAAGGCTGGTTAATTGTAAAATAGACAGGTGTATATTATTGACTAATTTCATTCAAAACCCTTTTTTTCCGTGTGCAGAAAGTCCGTAAGAAATCCCAAATTAAATACCGCAATTGACTAGAAAACAGCCTTAATTAGATGGGCTCATGTCGTTCACCTACAAATTCATGCATCTATGTAATAACATTATAATATTTCAATTCATGAAGTTTCTAATTTAATCTTTAAGTTATATTTATAAATAAAGACATGTAGAAAAGCTAGTAATAGAATACAAGGGTCACTGCAAAACCGCGTGTGGAGAAAAGATTTAGTTAATGGCACATGATTCGTTACTTGCATCAGTTAAAAGCAAATTTCCACGTCTGAAGAGAGAAAAGTATGGAATCAGTTGATCAGCTTCCATATTGGTGACTCTGGTTAGTTAAACTAATTCGTGTACACTTATTCAAATGTATGTTCAAATGCGTGGAAAAGCTAGACCTGAACAAACTGTATATATGTATCCAGTTGGAGGAGATGATATCCGCTACAGCTATCTTTCAGGAGTTAAATGGACGCTCCTGATTGCACAAACCAAAACGCACGGTTTCATTAACTTAACATGGTGAGTTACGTTGCAAATTTTGTTTTTGTGCAAGCGTGATGGATTGTTCTGGCATCCGATTATACAGTATATAAAGTAAATATGTAATAAAAATTATTTTGATTTGTATAAAAACACTTTAACAAGTGCTTATGGGGTTGATAAACAATTCCGTACAACAAAAAAGGTTGAAATAATATCACAGATTGCGCGCGCAGGCATGGGATTATATATATATATATATATATATATTTTAAACTTAAGTGTCCCATTATTTGCATAATTATTACTCAGAAAGTAGTAGCGTAACTAGTGTTGTGAATTGTGACCTGTGAACAAATATACAATTTACTATATCTTCGTTATTAATTGATTTGATATCATATCAGTAATATTTATAAAAACAGAACGGTGCAGCTTGGAAAGAACGAAGCAAAGGAAAATCTAGTTTATTGTGTAAAAATAAAAGAGAGAAAAAACCTGCCTTAACATTTATGCTCTCCTGTTTTATGAAGATGATTCCCCCCGCAATTCTTCATTTGAAGCTCCCATTTTCTGAACTTTGCGGCTATATATGACTTGCATAAAAGAAGTTTTGGTGCGTATGTTACTCCTCTGGTCCTATTTATAAGGCAGAGTGAGAGGGTACTTTTTGATCCTATTTATAAAATATTGAGAGAAATTTTTTGTATTGATGTATAATTTTATCCCTAATTTATTATTGTGCTGACTTTATTTACATGAAGTATAATGTATATTAAATAAGGATAAAGTTGAAAAGTTATTAAATTTTAAATGAAAGTTAATGAAATTTGAAGTTTTCCTTAGTTTGTGTAAAATATGCTGAAAGTGTCTTATAAATATAACCAGAAGGGTACTTGTTAACTAACTGGTGGTGACAAGAAAAATAAAATGACAGAAGTGCCCCTTCTGTTTTCTCCATTACTCCTCCCTAAAACAAGGCAGCTGTGTCTACTTTTCATGGTAATCTCTCAAGTTAATCATATTTATAAATCACTTATAATATATTTTACACGGACAAAAGAAAAACTTCAAACTTTATTAACTCTACCTTAAAATTCAACCATATTTTAATCTTATCAATATTTAATAAATATACAAAGTTAATACAATAATAAATAAATAGTGAAATTGTACATTCATGTAAAAATTTTCTTTCTTTGCCTTATAAATAGGACTAAATTTTTTTTCTTTCTCTGTCGTAGAGGAATACATTAATTGATCAAGCAAAATCAAACCACTTGTCGTATATAATATAATATGAATTGTGAGGGTGCTCCTTAATTACATATTAATGGCAGAACTTTAATTTTATATATTAATTACTACTCTATTTGGGTTTGGGCAGAGTATGGATTTTCAATATACTTAATGCGTCCACTTATGCTCAGAAATGAATGCTCCCCGATGCACCATGGACACGTGACAAAGGCTCACTCTCTGATGCTAGCTTCATCAAGCCAAGCTGCCTCTATATATACATTCCCTCCATCGCCACCTCCAAACTCCCACTTACATTACCTTCCTTTACCACCATGAATACTCAGCCTGTTCTCTCCCTTACCCTGGCCTCCTTCTTCTTCTTCTCTGGTATGTTCGCATTTATATATACCTCTTCTGTCTTCCTCTAATATTTCTCTCATCATCACTTTATTCTTCTTCCTTTTAATGTCTCTTCTTTTTTAAACTCTTCTGGTCCTATTTATAAAGCACTTCCAGCATGTTTGACATAGACTAAAAAAATCTTAAATTTTATTAACTCTCATTTAAAATTTAATGACTTTCTGACTTTATCCCTATTTAATATACATTATACCTTGTATAAACAATATAATAAATAAAGAGTAAAATTGTACATCCATATAAAAAATTTCTCTTGGTGCCCTATAAATAGGATCAGAAAATATCTTTTCTCTTTACTATGTAAATAGGACCAGAGGAGTAAACACTAGTAGTTGACCTATATTTAAGTTATACTCCTCCGGTCCTAATTATAAGACCCAATTGACTTATTTGAGGAGATTAAGGAAATAAGTTAAGTTGGTTATTTATAATAAATAAGTGTTGTCATTCCTAAAATATCCTTGCTAATTAAGTATATTGGCTAAAACTATTATTATTAGAAGGATTATCTTGAAAAAAAATGCATAAATATAAGAGACAAAATGGATTGGGGTCTTATAATTAGGACCAAATAAAAAGTCAAATGGGGTCTTATAATAAGGACCGGAGGAGTATATTAAGTTCACGTTTGATTGTGCATGTATTCTCGGAATACTAAACGCATACACACATTTTAGCTGCGTAATGTTCAATAACGCACACGCGTTATCATGCAGGAGCTCAAGCAGCCACAATCACTTTCACCAACAGGTGCCCATACACTGTATGGCCGGGAACTCTAACCGGCGACCAAAAGTCTCAACTACCCACAACTGGGTTCGAGTTGGCTAGCGGAGCGTCCAACACTGTGGGCGTTCCGTCTCCATGGTCGGGCCGCTTCTGGGCGCGAACCGGCTGTTCTAATAATGCCGGCAAATTCACTTGCGCCACCGCAGACTGTGGCTCCGGCCAACTAGCATGCAACGGCGCTGGTGCGGCCCCACCCGCAACCCTAATGGAACTCACCGTAGCGGTAAACGGCGGACAGGATTTCTACGACGTGAGCAACGTGGACGGGTTCAACGTCCCCATGTCCATAGCTCCGCAAGGTGGAACTGGAGCGTGCAAGCCATCTAGCTGTCCGACGAACATCAACGCGGCGTGCCCGGCGGAGCTGCAAGTGAGGGGCTCAGGTGGGAACGCGATCGCGTGCAAGAGCGCTTGCTTGGCTTTCAATCAGCCTCAGTATTGTTGTACTGGGAGCTTTGGGACGCCGGCTACTTGCCCTCCCACTGATTACTCAAAGTTTTTCAAGCAGCAATGTCCTGATGCTTACAGCTACGCTTTTGATGATAAGAGCAGTACCTTCACTTGTTCTGGAGCTCCTAACTATGCCATAATGTTCTGTCCTTGAACCCGAGGTGGAAGATGATCTCTCGTAATTATCATTAAGTACTCTACATGATGTATAATAATGGCAGGAAATATGTATCGTGAGGAGGGAATGAATCGCTGCATTTAATGGATGGTGAATATTGTACTATCGTAGCTTTGCGTATTAATAGTTATACATGTATCTCTCAGAGTCTCTGTATCTAGAAAGATGTTATGTTTCTTTTGACGACTTTCTGAATGCTTCGACTTCAGAGCGCATATACGTATACGAGTTGTTAGAGAACATGATAAAAGAGGAGTATTAATTATTGTTTCTATAAGTGTTGGAAAATTTCTATGAGCTTTTCAAGTTAATTGTTTTTTTAAAAAAAACGGCGTTATTAATGGTCCATTAAAATATCTGAGATACCAACGCGGTCATAGAGACATACTGCCTCCGTCCCTTATTACAAGATCCAATTTTTTGAATAGATTTATCCCTTTTTATAAGATTCTCTTCGAGTTTGTCTGAGCATTTAATGCAGTATTACCTATTTTACTCCTAACTTAATGTATTTAATACATTCTCTTTCTTTATTTATATCACTATTACTTTCTCACATTTCTCCATTTATATATATAGGAGTATATTTGGAAAAAAAACTGCATTTGCTACATATTAATTACTTTTAACTAATTTTAACTGTTTTCTTAAACCATGTAATTTAGTTAAAAAGATCTTATAATAAAGGATGGAGTAGTATAGTTATCGGGTGAGACAAACGAGTTAATTTAGCTAGCGAAATCAATGTGTGAGCCATTGAGTTTTATTAAACCATGTGGTGTTATTAGGGCTCAGTAAGCACTATTTAATAATTAGGCTAGGTTCCTTACTCGTGTGGATGAATTTTGTTCACTGTAATTTCCGCTAAAATAAGTTGTTTACTATGATACAACATTGGGATATTTTGATAAACAATTATCCAGAGAAATATTTTGATCCCGGCAATGGCCCTGACCCCCAAAGTTTCATTTTTTTCAAATACCATCAGGATACAAGCGGTAAGAGAGATAAATATACAGGAGCTTTCCTTTTCCGTCTAGTTAATCAACAAATTCCACCATACTTGTTATTGTTATATCAACTCATTATCATCTTGCTCATGTACAGTTGTGATGAGTAGCATTGAATTTTTAGTAGCGGTTACGTTTTGAACGCTACTACCTCCTGATTCAGTATTAAAAATATTAGTTGCGTTAGTTATTTATAATAAATCTATGTTGTTTGGCCTAAATATCTTTGTTAATCATATACATTAAAATTATCCATTAATGAACGTGTAATCACCACAGGGATTACTTTGAAGCAAAATAGATAAATATTATAGACAAAGTAAAATGATGTTTTATATTTATAATTAATTTGAATATTTAACTACCTTTTATATTAAAAATAAGGAGACGTAGTTATCTATACATGCCATATATAAATATTATGACTTTTGATTTCATTGACTGCGTAATTGAGCGTTTGTTCAGTAGCCCCGGTGCTATGTATATCGACACGTAAATGGGTTTGAAGGCATTCAGAAAATTGAAAGAAACATTTATATATTTATATATATATCCTTCTCCAGATACAAGAAAGATGTATCGATAGTACAGGATAAAATCACCAATAAGAGCGGCCAATTTATTCTTCTCATCAGACCGTAATTATATATTTCATGCCATTATTATTTGTTACCTCGATATATAATTAATAATATGAGAGCCCATCATCTCGCCAGCGTTCAAGGACAGAATGTAATGACATAGTTAGGGCCTCCAGAGCAAGTGAAGGTGCTGTTCTTGTCATCATAGGCGTAGCTGTAAGCATCAGGGCACTGTTTCTCGAAAAATTGAGAGTAATTGGTGGGTGGGCATTTGTCTGGCCCGCCGGCGAAGCTCCCGGTACAACAGTACTCGGGCTTATTGAAGGCCAAGCAAGCACTCTTGCACGCGATCACCTTCCCATCTGAGCCCTTCATTTGCAGATCCGCCGGGCACGCCGCGTTGATGTTCGCCGGACAGCTTGACGGTTTGCAGTCGCCGGTACCGCCTTGCGGAGCTATGGACACGGGGACGTTGAACCCATCCACGTTGCTTACATCGTAAAAATCTTGTCCTTTGTTTGCCGCCACAGTAAGTTCGACTAGAGTCGCGGGTGGGGTTCCACCAGCACCGTTGCATGCCACTTGGCCGGAGCCACAGTCTCCTGTGGCGCAAGTGAACTTGCCCCCGTTATTAGAACAGCCGGTTCGGGCCCAGAAGCGACCCGACCATGGAGATGGAACGTCCACAGTGCTTGACGCTCCGTTTGTCAACTCGAACCCGGTCTTGGACAGTTGAGGCTTCTGGTCACCGGTTAGGGTTGCCGGCCATACTGTGTATGAGCACTTGTTGTTAAAAGTGATTGTGGCAGCTTGAGATCCTGCTTCAAGTTAAACATATATGTGCATTACAACATGATGTATTTAAAACATAATAAACAGAAAAGTAATATAGAAATTAAAAGGCGAGAAAACAGAGAAGGTGAAAGAAGTTAAAGGAAGAGAAGGAGGCCATGGTGAACAAACCAGAGAAAAAGAAGAAGACCAGAGTAAGGGAAAGAACAACTTGGGTATTCATGGTATGAGTATACGATGTTGGTAACAACAGGGTGTATATATGTGTGTGATCTGTGTACGAGAATGAGAAGGGACGAGGAGGGAAGAGGGGTATATATAGGCACTGAGGCTTCAAACGTTGGACTGGGTGTGGCCTACGTGTCTCGATCAGATAAATGTCCATGGCACTTCCGTGTACGCATTCAGCATTGAAAATTCATAAACTAACACACTCTCTCTCTCTCTCTGTCAAAAAGGACAGATTTCCTCGTCTCTTTTGCCACAGATATTCAAGGAGTAGCTCGTAATTTATATTCTAGTCTAGATGTTTGATTTTAGATAATCTCTTCGTTACTTTTTAACTAAATAATCCTATTTAAATAAAAATTAAATCCATGTATAATCTGTATTTATCCATTTCAAAAGACTACTGGAATCTGATCTGCTCCAACTTTCTCACTTTGTGAACATTTTTTGTCTCATCACATCACCAAATTTTCTTAGACTGGTTTGAAATAGTTTACGAAAATATACTTATACTACCTCTAGTCCTAATTATAAAAATTAGTTGACTAATTTGAGAAGATTAAGAAAATAAGTTAAGTTAGTTATTTATTATAAATAAGTGTTGTCTTTCCTAAAATATCTTTTTTAATCTAGTTATTAAAATTTAATCTGTTCATTATAATGAATAATGTTATATAAATATATAATGCTTGAGGAAAAAAACGGTGAGGTTTTCATTCTGATAAGCAAGCAAGCATCGTGGCAGCAGGGCGAGGGAGGGCATTGAACAAAATGCGGCCCCCAGCTTTTGCGTTACGTGAGATTAGTCAATAGCTCGTCCATCTACCTATTTTAGTGTTAGGCCCAAAAACAAATTAAATGCCGCCATTTTATTCAGGTGTCAATTTTAATTTATGTTTGCTTCCCAAGAAAATCTAACCATGGCGTCTTTGATTCAGTAGAACTTGCGATTGTTCGTTTATTCGATCATTAATAAAAGGGCTCCTCCCTTTTTTAGGCGGCCGGCATGCAAGATTGTAAATATTAATCCTTTAATTTAATTTTTTTTTCTTAGTGAAGATAATATAATCCTTGTTTATAATTTGCACGGGATCGATAATACTAGTCCAACGCGGTGGGAACACAGGAACTGAGCGCCAAGGAGGAAAGCCTTTGCAACGAAATTTGTGGGAGAAACTGATGTACATCTGATGTCGCTTTGGTCCTTTGGACTTGAGCACTCCACTTCCTTTCACACCTCACCGATGGATGCCTTGAATCAGTTTTAATACTTTTCTTTCCAACAATAAGTGTATATTTTTACTAACAAGAGCTGAGTCTACCAGAAAAGATTAGTCTCTCAAAATAGGATGAACTGATATTTAAATCCTTACTGAGAAAGGTGTCTATAAGTAATGCTAGATGATATCTCAAATAAAATTGTTTTAATACATGATACCTATGCGTAGCAAAAAAAAAAAAGTGTATATCTTTTTTTTTAAAGAAAACATCTGTATGATTATTAGCAAAAAAAAAAGAAGATATACACACACACATATGTGTATGTACTACCTCTTGTACTTAATACAAGAGTTAATTAACTAATTTAAGTAGATTAAAAACTTTTGTTAAGATAATTATTTATAATAAATTAGTATTATCTTTGTTAAAATGACCTTTTTAATTACATGTGTTAGCTAAAATTGTCACTTAATGGAACATATAACATATACAGCTACTACAAAGATTGCTTCAGAAAAAATGAATAAATATGATAGGGGTAATGGACTAGGATCTTATACTTGGGACCAAATTAAGAGTCAAACTAGCTTTTATATTAAGAAATACTACTTTATGTCCTTAATATAAAAGCTTGTTTAACTTTCAATTTAATTCTAAATATAAGACCTCAATCTATTTTATCTCTCATATTTATCTATTTTTTTAAGTTAATTCTTGTAATAGTTGCAAATGTTAAATAATTCATTAAATGTCATTTGATTAGTAGGGATATTTTAAGAGAGATAATATCTATTTATTATAAACAATTAATTTAAAATAATTAATTAACTCTGATATTAAGAACTATACGAAGTATATAAAATCACATATCAAATGTTTTAAGGCGTGGGTCTAGCCCGGGCATAAGAGTGAAAAATCTAAAATGGCCTCAGCGATCACCAATGTCAAGTCCTCGTTAGATTTTGGATCTTACAGTACATATGACGAAGGGAGTGGATCCATCTTGACTGGGAAGCCCCGGTTATGGACAACTTTCGACAATACATTGGGCCAGGCCTTTTGGAATATGGAAGCCCAAAACCAACTTCTTACTCTGCAATGTCGAGGCTTGAGAAGGGCGTTCGGCTTTCACGTTTGCAACCCCAAAAGTTCTTTTGCCAAATGCACTTTGATCTAAATCAAGAGTTAGTCTGGCAAACAAGCCGTACAATGGAGAAAGTTAGTTTTGTAAAAGTTGCTGGGAGTAGTTTTTAACATTTTCAATTTATGTAGTGATGTTAAGTAGTTAACGAACTTTTGGCAAGTGAACCTTTAACGCATGGAACTCTGCCAGGCTACAAACCAAAACTCACACATACTTCTCACGTCATCATTAACAATACTATACACTTTTGTAATTACCTCACGTTACACGTAAGGCTCCGTTCCAGTTGTGCAATGTGAGTATATATGTCGATTGGTTTGCCTTCTTTAGCAAAACATACTAATAATAACATTTCATCAAACGATAGATGGATCCGATGAAAGTGCCACAACTTGTACGATAAGAGTCCTTGTCTGCTTGTTATTAAGCCTCACATGCCTTGATTATTATTACACCACTTTATATTCAGTCTGGTCTTTAGACCCACATGTACATGCACAGGCGCACACACTTGATATTGCCCCATATATATAACGATCCCCAATATGAAAATTTTATTTCCTGGCAAAATGTAATTTCGTCCAAAACTAACCGCAACAAATATTTTGACAAATTTTCTAACGGTTTTAAACCGTTACAAACATCATCGCATTCTCCTGCGCTTGCTTGTTTCTTCTAGTAGTTAGTGTAACTGCTGGAAATTTTATGGCGTTTTGACCATACTCTGAAGCGGTTCCGTTAATCGTTAGAAAACTGTTTCTTACATTTGATTTTCTAGCGATTTGTTCAACCATTACAAATGTTATTTGTTGCGGTTAAAACAACTAGAAACGTCATAATTTAACCGCTAAAAATACATATTTTTTGTGTAGTAGTACAAAATGTAACGACATAGTCAGGGCCTCCAAAGCAGGTGAAGGTGCTGTTCTTGTCATCATAAGCGTAGCTGTAAGCATCAGGGCACTGTTTCTTGAAAAATTGAGAGTAATTGGTGGGTGGGCATTTGTCTGGCCCGCCGGCGAAGCTCCCAGTACAACAGTACTCGGGCTTATTGAAGGCCCAGCAAGCACTCGTGCACGCGATCACCTTCCCATCTGAGCCCACCAATTGCAGCTCCGACGGGCACGCCGCGTTGATGTTCGCCGGACAGCTTGATGGTTTGCAGTCGCCAGTACCGTCTTGCGGAGCTATGGACATGGGGACGTTGAACCCATCCACGTTGCTCACATCGTAAAAATCTTGTCCTTTGTTTGCCGCCACAGTAAGTTCGACTAGGGTCGCGGGTGGGCTTCCACCAACACCGTTGCATTCCACTTGGCCAGAGCCACAATCTCCTGTGTCGCAAGTGAACTTGCCCCCGTTATCAAAACAGCCGGTTCGACCCCAGAAGTGACCCGACCATAGAGAAGGAACGCCCACAATGCTTGACGCTCCGCTTGTCAACTCGAACCCGGTCGTGGACAGTTGAGGCTTCTGGTCATAGGTTAGGGTTCCCGGCCATACTGTGTATGGGCACAGGTTGTTAAAAGTGATTGTGGCAGCTTGAGATCCTGCTTGAAGTTAAACATATATGTGCATTACAACAGATGTATTTAGAACATAATAAAGACAAAAGTAATATAGAAATTAAAAGACGAGAAAACAGAGAAGGCGAAAGAAGTTAGGAAGAGAAGGAGGCCATGGTGAACATACCAGAGAAAAAAAGGAAGACCAGAATAAGGGAAAGAACAACTTGGGTATTCATGGAATCATGGTATGAGTATACGATGTTGGTACTAATAGGGAAGGTATATTTGTGTGATCTGTGCACGAGAATGAGAAGGGACGAGGAGGGAAGAGGGGTATATATAGGCACTGAGGCTTCAAACGTTGGACGGGGTGTGGGCTACGTGTCCATCGATCAGACAAATGTCCACGGCAAGCATTGAAAATTCATAAACTAACACTCTCTCTCTCTCTCTAAAAAAAAAGGACAGATTTTCCTCATCTCTCCTGCCACAGATATTCAAGGAGTGGCTCGTAACTTATATTCTAGTCTAGATGTTTGATTTTAGAGCATCTCTTCGTTACTTTTTAATTAAATAATCCTATTTAAATAAAAATTAAATCCATGTATAATCTGTATGTATCCATTTCAAAAGAAATTTTTAATTTACATCTGTCCTGCTGGAATCTGATCTGCTCCAACTTTGTCACTTTGTGAACATTTTTTGTCTTATCACATCACCAAATTTTCTTAGACCGGTTTAAAATAGTTTACGGAAATATACTTATAGCTATTAAAAATCTGTTCATTATAATGAAGAATGTTATATATATATATAATGCTTGAGGAAAAAAACGGTGAGGTTTTAATACGGATAAGTAAGCATCGTGGCAGGAGGGTGAGGGAGGGCACTGAACAAAATGCGGCCGCCAGCTGTTGCGTTACGTGAGATTAGTCAATAACTCGTCCATCTGTCTATTTTAGTTTTCGGCCCAAAAACAAATTAAATGCCGCCATTTTCTTCAAGTGTCAATTTTAATTTATGTTTGTTTCCCAAAGAAGATCTAACCATGGCGTCTTTGATTCAGTAGAACCTGCGCTTGTTTGTTTATTCGATCTTTAATCAAAGGGCTCCACTCTTTTTTAGGTGGCCGGCATGCCAGATTGTAAATATCAATCCTTTAATTTATTTTTTTTCTCAGTGAATATAATGTAATCCTTGTTTATAATTTGCACGGGATCGATAATACCAGTCCAACATGGTGGGAACACAAGAACTGAGCGCCAAGGAGGAAAGCCTCTGGGCCCGAAATTTGTGGGAGCCACTGACGTACATCCGGCGTCGCTTTGGACTTGACCACTTGAGTACTCCACTTCCTTCCACACGTCACTGATGGATGCCTTGAATCAATTTTAATATTTTTATTTTCAACAATAAGTGTATATTTTTACTAACAAGAGTTGAGTTTAATAGAAAATATTAATCTATCAAAACGTGGTGAATTAAGATTCAGATTCCTGTTAGGAAAAGTGCTCACATTTTATGCTTGACAATACTTCAAACAGGATTGCCTCCAATAAATGATACAAATGCGTAGGGAAAAAAGTGCATATTTTTTTAAAAAAGAAAATCTCTGCACGATTCTTAACAATAAAAGAGATATATCTATATGTATTATCTCTCGTGCTCAATATAAGAATTAGTTAATTAATTTGAGCAGATTAAAAATATTTATTAAGTTAGTTATTTGGAGTGAATTGGTGTTGTCTTCCCTAAATGCCTGTGTTAATTATATGTATTAGCTAGAAGTATCATTTAATAAAACATCTAATATATGCAACTACTACAAACGCTACCTTAAAAAAATGAATAAATATGATACATACGATATATTGGGGTCTTATGCTTAAGACTAAATTAAAAGTCAAACTAACTCTCATGTTAAGAAGTAATACTTCCATTTTTTAATATAAGAGCTTGGTCCTAAATATTTATCTATCATATTAAATGATAGATAAATATAAGATCTTAATATACTTTATCTATCATATTTATCTTTTTTTTTTAAGATAGTCATTTTAATATTTGTACACGTTAAATGATTCATTAAATGACACTTGATTAGTAAAGGTATTTCATGAAAGACAACACCAATTTATTATAAATAATTAATTTAACTAATTTTTTAATCTATTTAAATTAATTAATTAGTTTTGGATGTAGTATATAAAATCACATATCAAATGCTTTATGGGGTGGGTCTAGCCCGGGCGTAAGAGTGAAAAATCCAAAATGGCCCTAGTGAAATGGCACCAGCGATCACCAATGACAAAGTCCTAGTTGGATTTTGGACTCTACAGTATATATGATGAAGGGAGTGGATCCACCTTGACTGAAAAGCCCCAGTCATGGATGGGACCACATTCCGTGCTCATCCGGTTGGTAAGCATGGTGTGCTCAGCACTCAAAACGCTGAGCCCCAGTCATGGTCAGGAGCATTCAAAACACCAAGGAGGAAAACCTTTGGGCCCGAAATTTGCGGGAGAAACTGATGTACTCCTGTGGTCCTAATTATAAGACTCAATTAATTTATTTGAGGAGATTAAGGAAGTAAGTTAAGTTGGTTATTTATAATAAATAAGTGTTGTCATTCCTAAAATATCCTTACTAATTAAGTATATTGGCTAAAACTATTATTATTAGAAGGATTATCTTGGAAAAAAATGCATAAATATAAGAGACAAAATGGATTGGGTCTTATAATTAGGACCAAATAAAAAGTCAAATGGGTCTTATAATAAGGACCGGAGGAGTACATCTGATGTGGCTTTGGACTTGAGCATTCCCCTTCCTTTCACACCTCACCGATGGATGCCTTGAATCAGTTTTAAGGGGTGTTTGGATAGAAACAAAACTATAGTTTAAAAAGTGATTTTACGGTCTATAAAGTAAATATGTGAAGAAATTTATCTCAATTTTACAGAAAGTGCTTTTAAAAGCACTTATGGACTTATCCAAACACCCCTTAATACTTTTCTTTCCAACAATAAGTGTATATTTTTACTAACAAGTACTAACAAGAGTTGAGTCTGATAGAAAAGATTAGCCTCTCAAAATGGGATGAACCGATATTCAAATCTCTATTGAAAAAGGTGCTTGCAAGTAGTGCTTGACGATATCTCAAATAATATTGTTTCTAATACATGATACCTATGCGTAGCAAAAAAAAAGAGTGTATATCTTTTTTTTTAAAAAAGAAAACATCTGTATGATTATTAACAATAAAAATATATATATATATACATATCTGTGTATGTACTATCTCTTATGCTTAATACAAGAGTTAATTAACTAATTGGAGTAGATTAAAAACGTTTGTTAAATTAGTTATTTATAATAAATTAGTGTTATCTTCCTTAAAATGTCTTTGTTAATTAGATATGTTAACTAAAACTGTCACTTAATGGAACATGTAACATATACAACTACTACAAAGACTGCTTTAAAAAAAATGAATAAATATGATATGTGTAATATCTAATATATATATATATATAAAGAAAAAAAAAATATAAGAGTCAACTTTCCACCAACTTTGGTGGAAAGTTGAAACTTGTGAAGTGGAAAATCTGGGAGAGAGTGGAAAATGGGACAGACGCGTGGAAAAAATGGGATTAGAAAGACTCCAGGGAGATAAGGAAGACTTAAGGGAGGAAGATTTAATGCCAGAAGAAAAATGGGAGCGAGTGGTGGGAGAAATGAAGAATAAAAGAAGAGGGGACGTAGAAGTTGAGTCATCTGCGGGAAAGAAGAGAGAGAGAATGAGAGAGGCGCATAGAAGTTTTGGTATTTTGAAGGGTAATATAAGCTTTGGAGATCATCTGGGTACACAAATATAGTTCTTTTTATCAAACTTTCTTCATCAATATTTCCTATATATTTTAGGTTTCCTAATGCCAGTATTACTAAAGTGCTTACTGAAAATTTTGAGACTTATATATGATATAAATATGAAATTTTGGTAAAAGATGACTATAGAAATTTAGAAGTAAATGAGTTGTTAATTTTAATTAGTTTAGATTTGTCTATTTGTTGGTTTTTAGTGCTTAAATGAATTCTTCTAGTTGAAAAATCTGTTATATAGGATTTATATTATATTTTTACCGATTTTAAATTCAATTAAGTATTTATTTGTATTTGGGTTGTTTGACATATATTAAGATTTTAATTGGTCTAGTTTTACTTATTGGGTGATGGGGAGTTTTAAAATAATTATTATAGCTAAAAATTTTATTATTTACGGATATATATATATATATATGATAGTTATATCATTAAAGTTTTGAGTAGATTATTTATTTATAAATATTTAAAATATTATTAAATTTTTGATAGTTTGATTTTGAAGGTTTAAACTGAAAATGAGATTTTTAGAATTTAGAACATAGTAATTTTACATTTGGAAATTGTGAAAAATTCTTTTTATTAAGATAAATAATTTGGAGGTGGTAAATAAATAATTTGGCTTTTAGGAAATTTTAAGTTATACTTAATAATTTTGGGTTATGAGAGTTACGGAATTTAAATAAAAATTAAATTAAATTAGAAATTTAATAATATAGAGAAGTTGAATTAATTAATTAGTTTAGTTTATATTAATATGTGGTTATATTAATTGTGTAGATTAATTATTGGTTGAGCAAAGGATTGACCTTGTGGTAATCCTTAGTATTGCTTTGGTGAGAGGTAATCACTTTCCACTTGTTATATGTGCTGATATGTTGTTTGTTTGTGTATTTTGCTATTTTGAATAATATTTGTTATTTGGAATTCGAGTAGAATAAGTTATATCTTTTGAGCTATGAAATTCTATCTTGTGGGATTTTTGAAATTGTAATTGAGAAGTTTGCAAAAATATATATTTATATCATATGGATTATACTGAGAAAAGATTGAGACATTTTTATTATATTGTGAATATTGGTTTTATTTGGATTTTGGAATTGAGTCCTATCCTACCACGTGGTAAGGCCGCCATTGATGCACATTAGTTGGCTTCTTCCTTCGTCTCCCATAGTGAGAGATATGCCTTTGTGGCTTCTTATTCGTCCCCCAGAGTGAGGGATAGGCCTATATGTCTGATTAATCCTCTAGCGAGGGATGGACTTATGTGACTTGTGTGTTAGCCCCATAGTAAGGGTTTGGATGATTGAAAGTATATATCTATGTTCTTGAGAATTAATAACTGTTCCACTTG